AAGAATTTTGATTACAAAGCCAAAATTTTATCTTTTGTGCAAAATATATGACGTTTATATTCAAAATAATCCTGGCCTTGCAAGGAATCCAGCACTGTCAATTATATTATCCTAACTTTAGTCTGAGGTATTATTTATTACTATACCTTAATATCTAGTGTTTTCACCCAAACATTTCTCAGAGAGGGAGGAGCCAGCGAGCGTGGGAAGACGGGGGGGGGGTGGCTGGAGTTGAGTCCATTATTTGAATGGACATTAACCTGGCAACTGTATTTCTCTTAAATATTAATTGTGTGTGCATACTTTCATAAAATTAAGATGTTATTTTTACTACAACTAGGTGCTACTCGGTGGGTTCAATTGACCGTGTAAATCGGGGTATTACTGTAAACACTGAGGAGCTCGAGCGCAGGCACTCCGATGGACTTGAGTCGGCGGAGGAGGTGGGACGAAAACTGGAGGATTTGACAACTGTACTGACATGTGTTTTACAATTTATTTTGTTTTCTATAGTGACACTGAGGAGCTTAGTGGAGTCCACAACCTGGAGTGTGTTGGGGCCCAAAGTAATTTGGGGAGGTGGGACAAGGTCAGAGGAGAGGTTGCTGTGCATAACCATGGTCTTGGTCTGGTTGATGGTGATGTGGTTTTTGGTGGCCCAATTTTGGAGACTGTTCAATAAATCCTGGAGGGCGGTGTAGTCGGGAGCCAAGTTGTTGACACTGGTCCCAATGGTGGGGTCATCGATATATTTCCAGCGAGCAGAGATTTCTCTTAGGGTATCATTGATAAGTATAGGGAGGCAGAGTGGTCCCATCTTGGTGCCTTGGAGACGCCACAGGTGATTGATTGAAAAGTGGAAACAGCCCCTCGGAAGTGTACGACTTGGCGTCAGTCACTAAGGAAGTCTGTAAGCCAGGGTATAAGACTAATTTAAAACCCGAGGTCGAGAGCTTTGTTGATGATTTAATTGTGGTCGACTAGGTCAAATGCTTTGATGAAGTCAATGAAGACACAGACGTCTTTCGTTTTTCCAGATGGCGGTATATGTAGTCGAAGAAGTTGACAAGACAGTGAGTGGTGGAAGAAGTTTTTATATTCTCAAATTGCTGAGGATCTATGGTGCCTGCAATATCAGCATAAGCCCAGTCAAACACGAAACTTTTGCAGATTAAGCTGGGCATTGGGGTGATGACAATGGGCCATAGCTCATTTAAAGATTGTGGGCTGGTTGACCTGGGCACTGGTGACACATGAGGTCTTCCAGTCAGCTGGGCATCCTGCTTGGCTGAGGGAAGCATTGTTGATGGAGCAGAGGGGTTTAGCTAGTTCTGGGGAGAACTCCTTGTAGAGTTTCATTGGTAATTCAAGGGGGGTGGTGGAGCGCTTTAGCTTCAATTTGTCAAGACGTTTTGCTACTTCAAATTCATCCACTAAGTCAGGTGGGGAGAGGGCTGGTAGGTAATCAGGGAGGCTGGTTGTGTCAAGCCAGGGGGGCGTCTGGCATATAGTTGCGAAATGATTGTTTGATTGCTCAGCTGTATCAACATTAGTGAAATGGCCAAAGAAGGGGAGGGGGTGTGTCTTATTATTTAATCCACAGGGTTCTTTAAGCTTACCATACTACTGACTGATGTTGGTGTGCTTCAGGTGTTGCAACTTGGTTGGGTAGTGGGACTTCTTTGCAGTGCATATTTCGTGGATGACTTGTTTGTGAAGGGACCTGTACCAGTTGTGGTCATTGAAATAAAAGATGCTGTCTCTCTGTTGCATAGGTCATTTGATCCAAGGTGTGATCCAGGGCAAGTCAGCTGGGTGTGATCTAACAGACTTCTCGGGGAAGAAGTGGTGGTGTTGGTATAATTTATCCATTTGGTGTCCACATCATCCACTCTAAGTACTTCAGTCCAGGGATGGTGAGCTATCCACTGCCCGAAGAGACGAACTTCAGAGACAGTGATCGGCCAGTAGGTCTTTATGTAGGGTCTCTGCACTTGGCTGGTAGTGGGAGCTGGAGAGCAGAACACTGATAAGTGTCTGTGCTGCACCTGATAGGAGGCATTGGCTGAGGTGGTTGGTACTGGTCTGCTAAGTCAGTTAAGATAAGGTCAAGGGAATTTTGACCGTGTGTAGGGAATTTCACAGCTTGTGATAGTAGCAGCTGGTCTTGAATATAAATGGTGTCAATTTCTTGTGCGTGCATGCATGTTTGTGTGTGTGAATACCTTGTTTAGACAGGCCAACAAGTTCAAGGGTTCGTGGTAGCACCCACAATCCAAACACTGGCATCTAATTGACTACATCATTGTTAGAGAAAGAGATCGCCGAGATGTCCTCATCACTCGAGGTTTTAACACTGCGTCTGGAGGACCCAGCAGTAACACATGATTTCAGAAAGCAGTTTGAACATGGGCTGATAAACAACCCAACAACAAACAACCCAAATCCCAGTGCCGAATGGAGTATTCTCGACACTGTCATGACAAAAACCTGCAGAGAGACCCTCAGCCAGATCAAAAGAATACACGAGGACTAGTTTGATGAAAATGACCCGCAAATCAATGTACTTGTCGATGATAAACATGCTGATTTAACTGACTCGCAGAACAACCCTCAATCTTAAACCAAAGCTGATACCTTCGCAAACTAAAGAACAACTAGTTTAAAAATAAAGCATGTGAAATGCAAAAACTTGCTGATCAACATAACATGTGCCAATTTTTCAATTCCACTAAAACGTTTTATGGTCCAATCACTCATGGCACAGCCCCTTCCACTCATCTGACGGTAACTCCCTAATTACAGATGAAAAAGGCATCCATCAGCGCTGGAAGAAGCTCTACCATTCGCTGCTCAACAGAAACACCAATGTGTATGTCTTGACTACCCAGTAGGTCCCTCAGCATCCAGATCTGACCCATCTCAGCTATCCTCCATCCCTGGGTGAGGTAGCTACTGCCATCAAACAGATGAAAAATAACAAATTCTCAGGGCTTGATCGAAACCCAGCCGAAGTGTTTAAAGCGGGAGGACCTCCACTCTCTCTTGGAGAATATATGGGAAAAGGAGGAAATCACCAAGCTCATAAAGACACCTCCTTCATCAATATTTATAACAAGGTGGAAGACCATTCAGACTGTGGCAACTACCATGGGATCTCACTTTTCTCACCTTACTGGCAAGATTATCTCCCTAGTCCTCCTAAACAGACTACAACCTGAGGCGGTAAACTTCCTCCCAGAATCTCAGTGTGGCTTTAGATCATCACGTGGCACCACTGACATGATCTTTGCTGCCTACCAGATACAGGAAAAGTGCAGAGAACAGCTTCGTGACCTTTACATGGCTTTCATCAACCTAACCAATGCCTTCAGCCGGTTTGGCTGCCCACCAAAATTCATCGCCATTGTGAGGCAACTCCTCGACGGCATGAACGGATGTGTCCTGCACAATGGCACCCAGTCTGAGTTCTTCCCCATCCAAACGGGGTTAAAACAAGGATGTGTACTGGTGCCAACTCTCTTTTCCATTTTCTTGGCTGCCTTCCTTACTCGTGCTAGTGCCAATTTAGCCGGCGGGGTGGACATAGAGTACCCGATAAAGGATCTTTACAAATTAAGTGGACTCCAGGCAGGAACAGAGGTGTCTGCAGCTTCCATTACTAAACTTCAGTATGTAGACGACCTCATCCTTGTCGCTCACACTGAATGCGACCTACAGGAAATCCTGAACATCTATGCGGATGCATATGCACACTTTGGCCTTGAAGTGAATGTACATAAGATTCTCTTTGAGCCTGCCCCTGGTTCAGCAACACCTCCACCATCCATCCAACCTAATGGTACTACCCTTTCTTGTGTTACCCACTTTAAGTATCTCGGATCCCACTTGTCCACCACCATGGATATCGATAAAGAGATTCAATGTCAGATCAGATGTGCATCTCAAGCCTTTGGCAGACTCTGTTTCCATGTCTTCAGCTATAGGGATCTGAAATTATCTACAAATTTGCATGTATATTGAGCAGTGGTCCTCCCCACCCTGCACTATGGCAGTGAGACATGGGATACATACAGGAGGCACCTCAAGGTACTTGAAAACTTTCACTAATATAGTCTACGTTCCATCCTCTGAGTTCGCTGGGAAGACAAGAGAACAAATGCCAGTATTCTCGCTGACACCAAATGTCGTAACATGGAGGCTATCATTATCCATGAATAACTACATTGGACTGGCCATGTTATCCGCATGGACAACAGTAGACTGCAAAAGCAGCTACTTCACAGTCACCTAACGAATAGTAAATGTAATGCCGTCGGGCAACTGAAATGGTATACAGGAGCTTCCCTACTTACAAACATTCAATTAACGAACTTTCAGAGATACGAACAAACCTGTCCGCATGTCCAATTACCCAATTGCCTGTTTGAAAACTACTCCGGGTCGTAAGCTTAACCGCCGCACGATAGATGGTGTTGGCTGTTCGGTGTTACCCTGTATCCCAAGCACCATTGTTGTTGTTGTGTTCCTCTGCTGCCTCATGGTGTTATTTGTGGTTTTGACTAATATTATTGACCCCAACCTGTCTCAGAAGCGTAAGAGTGATGCCAGTGGTGATGGTGGTAGTAAGAGGCGTCGCACTATTACGTTGAAAACTGAGGTGGACAATATAAAGCGTTGTGAAAGAGATGAGAAAATGATAAGCATAGCAAATGCTCTTGGGATTAATCATTTGACTGTTGGGACAATTTTGAAGAACAAAGAGTGCATTATGCAACATGTGAAAGGTTCTGTGCCAATGCATTCCACAATCATTAGTTAGTAAAGAGGCTCAGTGATCGCAGAGATGGAAAACCTTTTGAGTGTGTGGCTGGAAGACCAGCATCAGCATCGCATGCTTATAAGCCTTAACTTAATTCAGCGGAAGGCAATAAGTCTTTTTGAAGATGTAAAGGCTAAACATAGTGAGAGTGTTGCTGAAGAAACATTTACCGCTAGCCATGGTTGGTTCAAACCTGCGCAACATAAGAGTGAGTGGTGAGGCTGCCAATGCTGATATGGTAGCAGTCAGGGAGTTTCCTAAGCTTTTGTTGAAAATTATTGATGAGGTGCTTTACATACCAGAGCAGGTGTTTAATGTGGATGAGACCGGCTTATACTGGAAGAAAATGCTTGATCGTACATACATCGCCAAAGAAGAGAAGACTATGCCTGGTTTTAAGGCATTGAAGGATAGAATTACACTCCTGCTTGGTGGAAATGCTGCTGGTGACTGCAAACTAAAACCTTTGTTAGCGTATCATTCCGAAAACCCCAGAGCCCTCAAGGGTGTTATCAAAGCTTCAATTCCTGTTGTGTGGAAGGCATGGATGACTCAAGTCCTCTTCAAAGACTGGTTTTTCCATAATTTTTTACCTGATGTGGAAAATTACTGTAACAACAAAAACCTGCCCTTCAAGATCCTGCTTGTGCTAGATAATGCCCCTGGTCATCCATCATTCCTGGACGATTTCCACGTCAACATCAAAGTGGTGTACTTGCCTCCCAATACCACCTCTGTTCTGCAGCCTATGGACCAAGGTGTCATAGCAAGTTTTAAAGCATACTACCTGCAGAGAACTTTCACACAGGCTGTGAAGGAGACAGAAAGGGAGAGTGGAGTGACAATGAGAGAGTTCTGCAAGAACTACAACATCTACAAGGCCATTAAGAACATTGATGCTTCCTGGTGTGAGGTCAAGACTTCCAACATGAATGGTGTTTGGAAGAAGCTCTGCCCACAATTTGCCAATGACTTCAAGGGATTTGCAGAGAATGTGGATTCAGTGGCCAACAACCTAGTGGAACTGGGCAAGCAACTGCATTTGGAAATGGAGCTGACCAATGAAGATTTGATGGAGCTGGAGTCACATAGAGTCGAGGAGAAGGTCCCTGAGGAGGAAGAGGAGGCTGAGGAACCCCAAAAGTTCAACTCTAAGCAGTTGGCTGAAGATTTCAGCATGATTGAGAAGGTACAGGCTTCTTTTGAGTCTCAGGACCCAAACATTGAAAGGTTTGCAAAAGTGTCTGCAGCTGTTCATGATGCTATTGCCTGCTTCAAGATAATTTATGAAGAAAAGAAGAGATTAACTGTGCAGACATCTCTTGATAAGTTTTTCAAGAGAGTTGAGATGGGACACAAGGAGCAAGGGAAATTATAATCTACGGAACATCAAGAACCAATGCCATCTACAGGAGGTTATACAACCTTTAAAGCCATTCCCAGTGCCCCAGAACCAGATACCTGTGCCTCAAACCTCCACATGTGCAACATCTGTGAACAACTTTGCCGGTCCCGTATCGGCCTCTTTAGTTACCTCAAATCTCGCCAATGAAGGTGACATCCCTAATAACTCCTATCATTGTATCATAGCTGGATGATCATAGTAGAGAGAGAGAGAGAGAGAGAGGTAAACCAAAGGTTCCTGACATTATTTTGGAAGGTGACTCGCCTTCCAAGAGGCATTAAAATGCTTCTCTTCTCCCTTCTCCTCCACCCCCACTTCCTTCTCTTCTCCCTTCTCCTCCACCCCCCCCCACTTCTAATTCCCATCATCATCATCAACCAGCAACATTCTACATACTCACCTCAAAGTAAGTTGGAACCATTTACCCAATACTGTACAGTATCCCATTGAAATAATAGATTCAGTTCACGAAATTTTCAATGAACAAACGACTCTGTGGAACCAATTGTGTTTGTTAATCGAGGGACCACTGTATATACTGTAATGTACAGTCATATTGTTTCTCTTTTGATATTTTTTTTTGTGGTTCTTTAATATTTTTATTTTTATTATTATTATTATTATTATTGTAGTACCCCCTGTAGTGTTGTTATTATTATTTTATTGTGTTATTTTTAATTGTGTATTTTTATTATTAATTTTATTTACTATGAATTATTATTATTATTAGGATTATTGTTACATTTTTGCCCCCCAGACCCCGATGTGGGTCAGTGACCTGTGCCCAGGTGGGCTAATCCCTGAAAAAAGCAAAACAAAACAAAAACATGGATAAATTTTCCCCATAAGAAATAGATAAAATACTGGAATTACGTTCCTGAGCGTCCCTTTGCCCCACGAAATACATTACATATACTGAAATCATTGCCATTTCTATAGAAATTGTGCATACATATACAACTACTTAGTTTATATTTGTACTCACTGATGGGCAGAGGGAGTGTGTGGTGGGTAGTGAAGCGGAGGAGGCAGATGGAGGGAGGAGAGGAGTATGGCGGGAGTGGAGGAGGGTGGTGAGTCACTGAGACTCTGCACCAACCCGAGAGGGCGTAGCACAGCCAGATGAGAGAGGGTGATGCGCCGTAAAAAGTAGTCCTTGACAAGGCAAAACGACGTTGTACTGAGTCACCAGGATGTTAAACTAATTTTTGGTATCAAAAGATTAGCAAAGTAGTTCCGAAACAACGTTAAGCGGGCCAACATTATACGAGGACTTCCTGTACAGGTATGTTGATGGAGGTTAATCCTCTCTGGTTTTAATTTTCCTGTGGTGTGCTTCCAAAACTTGATTTAGTCGTTTATATTTTTCAGATCATTGCTTTGATTATAGAAGGTCGTGCACCCAGTAATGGCAGAAGTCGCAGGCCATCAAATAGAGCCAGATATCACAAGCTTGACAACAACCTTGAAGAAGCAATTACTGCCACAAAGGGTTCAAAGTATGATAGAATCTATTAGAAGGCGATACAGCACATGCATGATGTAATTATTTGTATTTTGAGTTTGTTCACTTCATAGAAAATTTATTATCAGAGAAAAAAGACACAAAGATTGTGTATTTGTTTATTGTTTTAGTATATACACTGCATAATACTTAAAGTTATCATTCAAAAAGTTTCTGTAACTTCCCAGTATCAGAAAGGGAACTAATGATTCCATTTTATGTGTTTTGTTGATTGCTTGATATTTTTTACCCTTGATGTAAATATTTTGTGACTAATGTTAATGAATTTAACTAACAGTGGCTCTTATTTTGTAGTATATAATTGTTAGAATACACTGATGCCTTGTTACTTTGTGCTAACCCAAGGACACAGTTATCAGGATTTAGGCATATACGTGTAAGTGAAAGTTTTACCCAAGACATTTGTAACTTCAAGAATGGAGTGATAAAATGTAAACAAATTGAGTTAAAATTGCTTGAAAATGTATTTAAAATGTTCTGGTTATGTAGAAGAATACTGTCACTACTAATTGCTCTTGGCCCCCAAAAAAATCCATAAAAATGTGAGAAATTAGCATACTGCATGACATATCTGAGCTATATAATTCCAGGTAGTAAAGGTTTAGAAGTACAGCTGCTCCCCGACTTACGACGGGGTTAGGGACCCAAATCCAGGTCGTAAGTTGAAAATGCTTAAATAATTCATAGAAAATCTAAAATGGGTCTCTTTTTTTCTTCTCAGCACCACAAAACTCTCACTTTCGAGCTTGCCAGCCATTTTAAAGTGAATTACAAACGAAAATTTTGTCAGTACACAGCGCAATCACTGACGTTGGGACTCGAAAATATGTAATTTGACAAAATTTTGGTGCGACTGGGGCGGTCGTATGCCCAGGTGGTCGTAAGTCGAGTAGGTTGTAAGTCGGGGAGTAGCTATACAGTAAACCACCCTAATGATGGACTAATTCATGCATCCCCTGTCTGTTATTGGGGGGATTCTGTTAATAGGAGAGTTTCCTTTTCCCCCCTATTCCTACCCATCAACACTCACATCTTGTATGGTAATAAATATTGCACATTACCCTACTGTATATAGAACTTCAACTTATCTTGATTATTTCCTCTAATTACATTTTATAAAAACTATTATGTAATACATTTCAAAAATTTGTATTTTCAACGGTATCATTTCAAATTACAGTAGTGTAATATAATTTTGAAAATTTCAAAATTTGTGCACCATCATTAGCAGTCTCTAAACAATTTCTTCCAACACATCAGGTGAGTGTTAAATTCAATTTATTTAGTGTGCATCATATTTCCATGCATAAATAAGGCTTTGATGAACTTGCTGTGTTATTTAATGAGAAAAATAAAGGATGTGCTCATGGGTGCATCTGCTAGTATGCTGCAAACAACTGTTTAACCTTTTTTCATGCTACCATTAACCTGTATTTTGTATATTTTTAACAAAACTATTGTTTACCTTTGCTTTCTTTGATAAATGTGCAACAATTCTGCAACATATATATATATATATTCATATTCCTGGTGACCAGTTACAATAAAAAGAAGGAAAAAATTTACCAAGAAAGCATCATAAGAATAACTGAGTCTAACTGTCTCCTTAATGCTGTACCTTCATCAAATGGTTTATCATAGTGTTCTTTTTCCCCATAACACCTATTAAATTCACTTAGCTATTCTAACACTAGTAAGACCTCAATAAATTAGACTTCAATATACAGTATCAGATTTTGTTTTTTTCAGACTCTGAGATGCCCTGGTCACCAGAAATACTAAAAACAAAAACAAAAAATATGCAAATTAAGGATTGGGGAAGATTAATAAGAAAGATCTAATGACAAGAACCACACTTACTAAATACTGTTCTGTGATCTAATCAGATTTGCTATAGGCCTACTGTAAATTAAGACACTTGAGTATGTAAGCAGGCTGAGGCTGATCAAGTGTTGCCGCATTCGTCAGGTTTATTTATTTATTGATTCAGTATTATATCATATGATTGGCCTCTTGTGGTTCATCATGATAAATATAACATCTTCAGTAATAGAGAAAAAATACAATTCTGTATGTAATTTGTAATTATGACTTGAAAATAAAAGGATAAGCTGTATTAGAAGGTTATTTACTCAAGATGCGTTTGTGTGAGAGCTTTCAGTAGACCAGCTTACAGCAGGGGTCACTATAACACACTGTATAGTATTTGATATGAAGATACCTTCTTCAAAACGTTATTTACTACCTTCGAGTCTTATATGATGATTCAGTTTGGCTACTTGTGCACTTAGACAATGATTAATGAATAAACCAGGGTATATGCAGATGCATAATACTTGACATTACAATATTTCTTAGATGCTGATCACACTGCAATAGTATTTATTGAGTGTTGATAAATACACAACTGTTCTGTACAAATTTACTAAGTGTTGAAGACAAACATTGTGGTAAGCCAATCAGCTGTTTGCTCCTTGTAAAAAAATTTTCTCTTGGTTTTCAGCGTGGAATTCTTTATTTCAGGAAAGCCGATTCTTTTAGGATAATATTTTATCAACCTGGCACCAAATGTTCCTAAATTGAGTGAGAATTGTGGTGGAATTGCATAAAGAAGTGTTAAAGGAATCTTGTGGGAGTTAGGGGGAAGGACCCATCCACCCATGCTACCCCTCTGCCAGCTGCTCCCAGATAAACATTCACTTATTTGTTCTTATTTTTTCTTTATGATACTGTACAGTATACAGTTTTATCTTTATTCATGAGACAAATTCTGTGGTTACTTACATATAACACTTAACAGTAAATAACAATCATCTTGGTGACAACAGTTGTTGACAACCAGAGTTATATGCTTAATTTTCAACCCAGAGAGTTCTGTTTCATATATTTTTTTATTGTTAATGTAATTTTCTTTTAATAACCTTACTACGTATATACACTTAAAACACCTTGGTTGTTTAAGTGTAGTAATAACATAGCAACAGCTGATTTTCTATAAATAGTTCAGATAAGAAATGTTATCTCCACCCTCTACCCCCTCCAACATATACAGCTAGACCCCGACTTACGACTGCTATGACTTACGACCGTCGGGACTTACGACCGCCGCAGATTTTTTATTAAAACAAAATTTTTATTTATTTTTTTTCAAATGACACGCATTTTCTATACCGAAACGTTTCCAGTTAATGTAGTCTCCATGTATAATTAGAAAATTATGGGGGCCCCATGTGCATTCAGCTGACTACATTAAAGGTATGTGCTCAGTCACACTGTATCCATTCTTTATTATTTATTACTTTCACTGTACTGTATCCATTCCTCATTATTCATTACTTTTACTGTACTGTATTTCATTGTAGATTTTTTATTAAAAAAAAAAAGAAAATGTTTTTTTTTATCTATGTCGGACTTACGACCATGTCGGACTTACGACCTGGATTTGGGT